AACACCCCAAATTTAATCGGAATATTTTAATTAATTTATTTAATTGAGAATATTCGTATTTTTGGTGTTTTCGGTGATTTTGGGAATTATTGAGAAGATGTGCATGTTGGACTATTTATTTAATTAATAGTATACTATATGAGAATATTAGTATTATTATTATTAAAATGAATATAAGGGAAATAAGGGTAAATTGGGCATTATGAAGAGTTAGTAAGGGTGTTATGGGAAAAGCCCAATTTGTGAGGCCCAAGACTAAGTTAGACAAATTTGAGTTATGAAAGGAAATCAGATTTCATTTTGTGTTTAACGTGAAAGTTCGTGGCCAGAGCTCTTAAGGAAAGGCTGGAAGCAGAAGATCCCAAAGATTAATCGTGAAAGTTGCGAATCGACTAAGGTATGGGGAGTATCACATTTCATGATTTTCTATGTATGCCTTTAGATGTGTTTATGGTTGGTCTATGATTTAATGTATTTTGGGTTGATTTGGGAAAATTAGGGAAAATGATGATAAGACTCTGAGAGTATGACTAATGGTATGTATCACTGAATATTGATATGAGAAAGGAAACCTTAGGCCTTTGTGGCCAAAATCTTAGATTGTTATATATCTGCCCATAAGGGATAGAATATTTGATATTTGAAATTACGATGCCTTCGCAGCAATTGTAAGGAAATTGACGGTAGACCCTGTAGGTTAGTAGTTAGTATTCTCGACCCTTTGAGTGTAGAGATGATAAATAATGATTTTTGCCTTCGTGGCCAAAACCTTGGATTGTGATATGTTTGACCCTGTAGGAATAAGAATGTTCATGTGTGAGTAACTCTGAAGTACTCAGAGTAATTGCAGGAAATAGTATTTTAGGCGTTGCAAATGTTGTCAGATGAGCCTAATAACCATAAAAGTTGTGTTGTTATTGCCGTATAACCTTAGGAATGTTTTAGTGATGTTTTGGGTACGTTGAGTGAGTGATTCGTAAGAATAATTGAGTAAAAATCAGTTCCGGAGCGTAACAGCGTCTTTTTGTTCGTCACGACTGTTCATGTTTTTGGTCGAAATTGTTTTTGACGTAACTTTTGATCCGTAAGTCCGTTTTGACCCCCGTTCAAAGCGTTGGAAAGCTAACAAGCAGAGCTATAACATAGTATAGATAAGGGAATTTTTTTCCCAATATTTTTATATCTAATTATATTTGAGAAGTCAATTGTGTATATGTTCTATTAATGAATCATGTTCTGGTTCAAGGATGTCTTGATGTTTTGATGCTGCGATTTTCCTGATGAATTACCATGAGGGTAACTGTGATAATATGATGAATTAACATGAGTAGAACCGTGAAGTTTATGTGATTGATAGGCGATAGTGTGGGGATTACCGTGAGTATAATTTGATAAATTAATATGAGATGATATGAGGGTAGTATTATGAATTGATATGGGATAATATGAGATAATATGACTATGAGTTAATATGTGATTTATACGTGATTATATGATGACATGATGTGTGAGATTAATTGATATGATGAATTATGATGATATTCAGTATGATGATTAAGATGATGAATTATGATGATTAATATGATGAAATATGATGATATGTTGTATAATGATGATTACTGTGATGAGATATGATAACATGATGTATGATGATGATTGTTACGATGAACTATGATAACATGATGTATGATGATGATTGTTACGATGAGCTATGATGACATGATTTATGATGATGAATATGACGATGAGATATGACGTGTAATGATGATAAATATGATGAATGATGATGCACCATATGCTGTTATTATGAGGATTATTGTGAAGTGTGCATCATGCATTCATGTGCATCCGGACTTCGGTTCAGGACCTTGATTACTTTGACTTCAATCCCACTGTGTGGATGTGAAGTATTTTGATGTGCTCCGATCCTATTGATGGGGATCTATGGAGGGTTGATGGCCTAGTGTCCATCGAGCTGTGATGATTGGTACCACATGCATTGAGTCTATGTTGCATTTGCATTTATGAGCCTTTGTGTATAATTATGACATTGTGGCCTTTGAGGCATAATTGAATAATATCAACGTGTTGAATATAATTATGAGTAATATGCCGTTTATGCATTACTTGTTATACATTGATTATTATGAATTGTCTTACTCACCCTGCCTGTTTGAATGTTACCTCCATGTGGGTAACGTGCAGATGAGCAAGTTTAGCCGTGGACGCCGTCGAGGAGTATTGTGACGTTTTAGAGTCGTTAGCCTTATGGTTAATGTAGAGGGTCTTGCTCTGATATGTAACATCGGGTTGGATTCTTTGAGTTGATTGTATATCATTAGGTTATTTTACTGATGTTCCCTTATGAGGAAAACATTGAGTTATGTTTTGAGTTCCGCTGTATATGATGTTTTGATGTATTTTGAGAAAACCCGTGTGTTACGGAGTATTGACCAATTTTGTTGACTTTGAGAAATGTACGCCCTTTGTGACTTTTTAATGAAAGTTAATATTTTACTCTGAAATCCGTGTTATTTTACCGTAATATCTGTGGGGTAGAATAAGGGTGTTACACATTTCCATTTCAACCATGGAATCAAAGTTTGTGGTTCTTGCTTCCGCTGGTCAAGAAGCGGAATGGTTAAGGGACTTTCTGTTGGAAGTCTCATTGGTGAAAAACAATGTTTCAAAGGTTTTGATACATTGCGATAACCAAGTCACTTTAGCTAGAGCATTCAACGAAGTATATAATGGAAAGGATAGACACATAGGACTTAGACACTCCTTCGTGAGAAAATTGATTAAGGGTGGAATCATTTGACTCACCTATATACGAATGAGCTATAATTTGGCTGATCCATTTACCAAGCCACTGACCAGAGACTTATTAAAGACAACCTCGAGATGTATGTGGTTGAAACTCCGTGAATAAGAGTTCCAACAGCGACGACAACCCGATCTTACGTTAACAAAACATTAACCTTAATATTCAATGGGTAACAACAAGTCGTTGATTTGGATGTTTGTCGGACATTTGATAATAATGTTGACTATTTTAAATTGAGGGTTGAGTTTTTCCAAACTCTTAATGAAGTTCAAGAGTGTGTGTAAGGTAACGTCAGTCTAATCATATGGATTAATGGTTTAAAAGAATTGCTATCTAACAGTTCGATTAGACTTTGCGTTGTCCTCACTAAGGTTAAGTTACCTAACTGTATTAACATTCTTTATACCTCCTTTTTGAAATTAGAGTTGTCATTATTAGAACAAGCGGGAGATTGTTGGAAATTATGGACAATTAATGTCCATGGGAGTTTTCCAATATGACAAGAAGTGTGCAATCGAGTTAATGACAATAAATGCATTGCCAATAGTCCCACATAAAAAGTAGTACTCACTTTAAAAGTATTTATAAAGACTTAAAACATTAAGCTCAACAAAGGAGTTAAAGAGGATAAAATGTCACATGGACAAATGTGGTGGTCCCAAGCAATATACCACACGTCTCATCCAAACAACCCCTCGTCGGTGCCACTGGCTCCGGTTTTGGGACCAGATCGATGGCGTGAGCGTAAAGGCCCTAGTGACGGCTTGTAGGAGGCACTTGAGCACTAAAAGTTTGATCGGGTCCTAGTTTTGGTCATTGCTTAAAGTTTGAATTTCGAAAATATGCAACACTTAATAAAGTGGTGCATAATGTAACCATAGGTGAATCATTGCAAACTTATGATGAAAAGATGTTGTTTCATCAAGAATTGCAATTTTGTGAAACAACACATGCATGATCTATAAATACATTATTCAGAATTCGAAAATCATAACAAAAAATCATGCATCCTCTTTACATAATTCCAGACACTCTTTCTTGCATTCGAATTTTCACCAGTCTTGTGCAGATTCGATTAAAAGGCTGAATTATTCTGGAGATTCTTGTGTTCCAACTCTAAGACTATAAGAGAGTGTTTGAAATACTTTTAAAGAAAATAATACTATTCATAATTCAAACTTGAATTCATTCAACCTTATCGATTTATCTAATAACTCCTTTATCGAATTTCAATTGCTTTAATGTATTAGTCTCCGAAATTGAAATTTTAAAGGGAAACTAGTCTAGATGATATACAATACTTCAACAGTTTCATTCAATAATTTGAAGGTCAATTTTTAAATCTAAAATGACTGGTTGGTTGATGCACATTTTCTTGGAATTTGAAATGTAAGTGACATTTTATCGTGCAGCAGTTATGAAGACATTGTTATCTATCTACTCTGTTAGCTGCAAAGGCACTATCTCCTTAGTGAAAGACAAACTACCTTGCTTGTTTTTTTCTCCATGGCTATTTTCAATTGACCTCTTTCCGTTTTTTGACTAAAAAATATCATCTGATTAGCATTACTTTCAAATACTCAAAGCTCAAATGGGAAAATGCTGAAATCTTAGCAAGTGATTTTGATGTTTAGTTAAGATGAATTTTTCATGCAACACTTGTAGAAGAAATTAAAACAAGTTGAAGTGATTATGATTATGTATATTATAAATAATGACTTTCAGCATTTGTTATAATTAACACTTGCTGACAGTTATACCGCTATAAACTTCCAAGAGTTTGTTTTGTTAAGTTAAAAAATCAAACTTATATCAATTCTCAAATAAAAACTTAAGTTAAAAATTAATTCAGACTAGAAGTTGAGGGAAAAGTCTTTAAGGAATGTTTAGGCTAAAGATTATAACAAGAACTCAATTAAAGAGAAGAACTTATCTCTGATGACAATTTAAAGTGGTAATTATTTTCCAGGAAAGAGTGCAGGTTACATATGAAACATAAAATGATTTTATATTAATACAATTCTATAACTATCTAAATTCTTGTTCTGACCCTCTTAAAGAAAACTTGATAGCATATTTGCTAAGTAAAGAACAATACATGGCTCAACAAAAAAGAAACAAAATAAAGTAGGATCAGAAGCAGCAGCAAGATACAATTGATTCATTTGAATTATCATTCTGCAGATGAAACATCATGGTGACTGCTTTCTCCATTGCGTTCTGGCAACGTATCCAAATCTACGTGGGATTCTTTATCATCCTGTGCGACTGAAGTATCAGAAGTTCCCTGCTCATTCAAGTTAGAATTGTTATCTCCTTCAGTGTGAGAAGATTCGTCATTCTCCTTTTTTGACTCCACTGATTCATTCTGAGCGTCACCTTCATCCGCACTAGTTTTGCTCTGAGCAGAGTTCTTGTTCTCATTGGCATCGTTTGAGGCATTTCCACTGTTATTGGTACTTTCATTTTTGTTTGAGTCGTTCTGGTTAGAATCACTGTTGTTTTCCGAGTTTGTGTTTCCCTCTCCACTTTGTTCAGACGAATTGATCTGGCTAGAATCTTTGTTGTCATTAGCACTTTCATCATTGTTGGTGTTGCTTTGAACTGAGTTTGCATTGTCGTTCTGTGCAGATTCGGAATTACTCGATGATTCATCTTTCTTTTGTTCTGATGATGTATCAGAGGTAGTGAGTTGAGCCTCATTGCCAGTGGCATCTTTGTTATCAATTGTGTTGGATGATGAACCACTTTCTTGTGTTCCTTCTTGGCCAGAATTCTTTTCTGGGTTTTCATTAGTGGTGTCCTTGTATTCACTATGATTTGTATTGCTGTCTTGAGTTTCCGACGAAGATTTAGTAGTGGAATCTGCCTGATCCCCGGCAGCACCTGACTTAGAATCTTCAGTTTTTGCCATTGTATTTTGTGTGTTGGAACTATCTTCTGATGTTTCATTCTGTTTATCAGTTGAGTCATTCCCATTCTGTGACGATGAATCTTCCTTTTGTTCATCATCCTTGGTGTTGTTGTTCTGCTCCTGCTTCTGTTCATCTGATTCTGACACGGAACTCTTCTGTGAATCATTCTCGGTCTGTGCCCGATCATTCCCACTCTGATTTCCCTGGCTGTTTCCTGTAGCAGGAGAATCAGTGGATTCTGTAGTTTCATCACTATTTTTCTGAGACTTCAACTCAAGTTCATTCTTTTCCTTATTGTCAACCTGCTCTTCTTTGTTATTATCATTTTCTTTCGAAATGTCTTCCGACTTAGGATCTACAACAGCACTGGAGGCATTATCTCCAGCATAATTTTCCTCCCTAGCCTCGTTCTTTTTGCCATCCTGAACCTGATTTTCAGATGAAGTCTCTTTCTGAATCTTATCATGTTCTTCTTTCTCTTCTTCTGTTCCATTGCTCTCCTCCGTCCCTTCTTTACTATCTTGCTTGTGATTTTCCTCCACTTGGTCCTTCGCATCGGTTCCATTCTGCTTGCTTTCTTCATTCTCCTTATCTTTGGTGTCTATTTCACTTGACTCTTCATTATCTTGCTGACTCTTTTCCTCTTTATTTTGTCCAGTTTTTTTGTCCTCCCCTCCATTTTTGTTCTCTTCATTTTCTAAATGACTCTTTTCTTCATCTTTGTTCTCTTCATTCTCTAAATTACTCTTTTCTTCACCTTTGCTCTCTTCATTCTCTAAATTATTCTTTTCCTCCTCCTTTTTCTCTTCATTCTCTAAATTACTCTTTTCCTCATCTTTGTTCTCTTCATTCTCTAATTTACTCTTTTCCTCACTAGCTTCGCCCGTTTCTTTGTCCTCAACTTCATCTTTTATTTCACTCTCCTTGTTGTCTGCATTATCATTCTCTTCATCTTCTTTCTCCACATGCTGTTCACCTTCAGTGACAGTTCTAGCATTTTGAGAACTCTCTTCACTCTCTTGGTCTACTCCCGAATCCTCTTTATGCTCAGAATCATCTTCCACGACATTAACATCATCCAATTTGGTTGGATCTTCATGCTTATTGTCTTGTTCATCTTCCTCCTCGTCTTCCTTGTGTCTTGCATCTATAACAGATGTTTCCTTCACAGGAGGATTGAGGTTCTTCCTCCCTAACTTAATAACCTCATTGCCAATTTGTGTATTCTCTACATACGACACCTTTTTCTGGCGAGAGTGTCCAATTTGGTAAACCAACCAGATACAAACACCAACAAGAACACATATTTGTAAAGCATGCTTCACCTTGAAGCCTTTAGATCTTTGACTCCTCCTAGGAGATAACTTAAACATACCTAATATTCCTTAGCCTCAAACTTCGCTTCTTTTCTAAATGCCTGCACATATTATAAATTTTACATTCTCAATCAATCATAATTGTCATTCATTATAATATAAAGGACTTTTGTCATCACTTCTAAAGTCATATACATATGATTGATTATGATATGTTCACACTTTAAATGTATGTTTGATTTCACGGTAGGAGCACTTACAATTGATCTTGGATGTGTAGAATTGATTTTAACATGTTTGGTTGCTCATTAGTAAAATTGATTTCGTTTTCTAGAATTGATTCAACTTGAAGCTAGAATTTGTAATTTTTGAGTCTAAACATGATTTTTACACTGAAATTTACAGTTGAACTCACTTTTGCAAGAATTTCTTCAAACACAAATCATTTTACCTTCAACTCACGTTAAGCCATAATCAATTCAGTGAGAATCAATTTTTTCACCACAGAACCAAATTCAACATATAAGTATGTGATATAGAGATTGATCTACATATTACTTATGGATGAATAATTAGTTAACTAAAATTTCATCAGTTGAACTTGAGATATCATACAATGCAAGATTTACAATAAAACAAGTTCATTCAATATTTGCAACCTACCCATAAATAAATAACAAAACACCTTAATCATCATAAATTCTATAAAATCATGCATTCATAACCTAATTTCAAATCAACTCAAACAAATCACACGAGAACAAGAAGCATATCATACAGTTTCCGCAACCAAATCCAGATCAAACGCATTGACAGAGATCTACACTAATTTGTGTACACAACAAAATTGAACAAGATTCAAATACACAAGAAATGGTTAACATTACCTACGCGCAGAATGAGATTATATTCAACCGAAAATGTATCTTAATCTCTCTTCTCCGGTAGAGACGGTGGTTTTACGAAGCACAAGTGCATAAAACAAAGAGCGTGTTTCTTCTTCTTCTTCTTCCTCTGCACTATGAATCAGAGGAATGAATGAGAATGAATACAGTTACAGAAAGTGAGATTTTGGAAGTGGAATTTCTTAGGATCTGAATTCTGATCTCAGAAATGTAAGAAGAAGATGACTGGTGATGTGTGTGATATATTTATAGCAACAACTTAGCATTAGATCTGAAGTACAGATTTCATAATTACACTAATAATTAATTATCAATTAAATTTAATTATTTAATTTAACTGTTTTCTCACTCAAAGTTAAAATGAAAGCGGTACAAAATGACGTTGTCTTTGAATGGGGAAATAGGGAGCACCGTCAAGCGCAAGAATGGTGATGCTTTGGCCGGTTCGAACTCACCACGTCACACGTGACGTTCTACGAATCTCAACCATTCATAATGTCGGTTACCCTCTACCACCGTCCGATACGATTCAATATCACCCTCAATGTCCAATGAAAACAAAATCATCTCCTTTTCAATGTCCAAAATAATACTCCCTTCTTTAAATGTTATATTTTTTAAAACTTTTTATACATATAAAAAAATTAATAGATATTATTATTTTTTAAAATTTAATTGGTATACACTGACATAATAAAATTATTTTACATTGTCAATCAATCACATTCGTATATTCTATCGTGTATTATGCTATATCATTAAATTAACAGTATAACAGAGTAAAATTATTTTAATTATCCGTGCATACCAATTAAATTATATATATATATATATATATATATATATATATATATATATAATATTTTTACTTTTTGTTATATTAATTTTACTTTTCTTGATAATTTTCACAATAATACAATTATAAAAAAACAAATCTTTTTCAAGAAAAGTGACAATTAATAAAGAGAGGAGCTAATAAGGAAAGGAAGGAGTATTACTTAATAATATGAGAAGTAATGGTTCTCAAACTTATTAAATCCATTACAAGAAAAGAAAAATATATATTTGAAGGAAACACAAAGTGAATCTTTTATCCAATTAACTTAATTTTTGAAAATTTTTTCTAAAATACCCCACATTTAAAAAATATTTCTAAAGTACCCCAGTTAAGTTTGAGATTATATAAGGGTGTCAATTTAATTGACGACCCTTTATTAAGGCCATAAGAATGGTGCCAATTGGTCTGGAGACACCTCATGCAGTCTCCAATCCAATTGACGACTTGGTTATGTTCATTAAAGGGTGTCGCCAATTCATCTGGAGACCCCTTGTATTTTGAATTTTTTTCTATAAATAGAGGTGTTTTGATCATTTACTTCCACATCTCATCTGATATCTTTCTTCTACTGATAACATGTATCGTCGCTAGTGGAGAAAAATCGTCTATTCAAGAGAGAAGCCTCTGATGGACATGTTGTTTTGGAACATACAAAGTTTCAATCAACTTAAGAGGGAGCTGAATCAGTGATTGGAAGGAGATATTGGTGAAGGGGGAATAATTCGTAGTATTGAGAGACTTGATCGGCTGCGTGGATAAGTTCATGTTAAGACCGACAAGGATGTGAGAGAAGTCATGTTTGGACCAAATAAAATTAGTTTTATTGTTGTAACCAGTTAGGAATGTTGTAGTCACTTAGTTAATGTTTTATGTTTAATGAAATTAGTATGTATTGTGTGTTGTTAGTCTTGTTTGTTGTTAAGACCGTTGTAATAAAGACTCATCAATATATGAAAATATTTGGTTACAACAAATTAAACGATAAGCTAACTCATAAAGCAGATGTGCCTCCGACATTAGGACAATTTTTACGGTTGTGTCCGGGCTGACGATATATACTACACAATCTTATCATTTTATTAGTCGTATCCATTTCGGTTCTTATACGCTTGTTGTTCGGGCGTCCTATTTTCTTTCTTTTCATGTCATTGTTGTGCCAAACTATATAACCTTGGTATGGAGGCCAATAATCCTCCATTATAGCACTGCGAAGCCTTCGTTGTATACGTTCATAATATTAATCGCCTTGTAAACATCAGACAGATAGCCATAAGCATCCTGACGAGCATGTGCGCATGCCGCAATGACATGTGAGCAAGGTACACTGAAGGCCTGGTACTTGCCACAGTCATACCAACATCTGTTTAGTCTGACGCCATAGGATAAATTGGGTCTCCCCTTATTATGGTCCATTGTTTCTTGTGCACTGAATATTTGCCTATGACGGTCGAAGACTGTAACTGCATGTGTGCTGGCTCTGATAGTACCCTCTTTCATTAATTCCATAATGCTTTCACTGAATACTTGACCGGATGTTAACGTTGCACTCCATTTCTTGCCTCTTGTTGCGAAAAGTGATGGCAACCTATAATATGTTGATCTTACAAAAGCAGTGATTGAAAGGTTTCTAATTCCTTTAAATACCCTGTTCATGGGCTCCACAAGGTTTGTCGTCATGTGGCCCCAACGACATCCACCATCAAAAGCTCTTGTCCACTTTTCGAGTGGAATGTTATCTAACCAGCTTCCTGCATCTGCATTTGACATCCTAATTTCGTTAAGGTAATATTGAAATGTTGGTTGAGTTAGAGCATACCCGACATTCACAATTTTTTTGCGAAGGTTCTTGTCTTTGATTGCACGCATGAAGTTTTGTGCAATATGTCTAATGCAATATACATGGGTAGAAAGAGGGTTATGCCACCCGTTATCATGGTTATTGTAGGCTCTCTCTATAGCATCATACCTATCTGAAATCAAACGGAGATTGGCTTGTGGAGTGAGATGTGTTCTGAGATTCTTAAGGAAGAAACTCCAAGCATAAGTAGTCTCACCCTCAACCAGAGCAAAGGCTATGGGAAAGAGATTATTGTTACCGTCTTGTGCAACAACCATAAGCAAGGTACCCTTGTATTTTTCGTAGAGCCATGTTCCATCAATTTGAATAACAAGTTTTCAGAATGCAAAACCTCTTATGCATGGTTGAAACGACCAAAAAAGACGATGAAAGATGACATTTCCATTAACAATAGTTCCATTTGGCCTACATGCACGCACTGTCTACATGATTGCAAAAATTCCCAGTGTGTATGTCTTTAGCGCTGCCAAAAATTGCGGTAACTCTTTGTATGAATCCTCCCAGTTGCCAAATACTTGTTCAATATCCTTTGTCCTTGCAACCCATACTAAGGGTATGACTTGTTAGAACACAGATTGGTGTTTAATATATCTCTATGGTTTTGATGATAACACTAATGAAATTTTGTATTAAGAAAATATATACTCTAATTTTGTTCAAGTTTTTTTGTTTCAGATATTAAAATAAATATTCTTATGGAAGCAAAAATGCATCTGAACATTACTCTACGTAAAGCTCTGAAGCATCAGAAGTAAGTCATCAGAAGACTCTAAGCGCTGCCAGAAGAGACTCTGAAGCAGAAGCTGCAGAAGACCCTGAAGTGTAGTTGAAGAATTTGTATGAAGAGTTTCAAGCATTGTTTCAAGAAGACTCTGAAGTACTTTACGTTGCAAGTACAAAGGCTTTGTTATTCAAACTCTGCTCTGACTGATATTCACGCTGAAGCACTTTGGCTGCAAAACTCTGATTACATCAAGACTCTGATATTGATAACTTTGAGACAGAAGCATTATTGAAGAAGATATTATTCAAAGATATATCCATTGGCATATTCCAAACGACTCTTTCCTTATTCATGCATGGCACAGGAAATCAGACAAAAGGGATGTGTCTGAACATTCCTCTTCTGGGAAAGCTAAAGTCAATAGAAGACAAAAAGGCTACAGCTACTCTGCTACGCACAGTCTTCAAGCATTGGACTTTCTGCTCTATAAAAGGATGTCTTCAACAACATTTCAAAGTTGACGTATTTGACGGATTATTGAGAAATCAAATTGAAAAATACTCTCAAGGTCTCATACAATATTTATTTCATAAGCTGAATAGTTTTTATTCGTTCTTAAACTAAGTGTAAAAATCACAGTTGTGATATAGCTTTTTAAAAGCATCTTAAACACTTGTTAGTTTACATTTATTTGTAAAAAGGTTCCTTAAGAAGACCAAGTTGTGGTCATGA